AGAACTCATTAAGAGCAGCCCTGCAGTGAGGCTTGAGAGTTTCTAGTGGACAAAAGGCTTCATATGAGCCAGCAGTGTGTACTTGCAGCCCAGAAGGCCAACTGCATAGTGGGCTGAACCAACAGAGGGGTGCCCAGCAGGATGAGGGAGGGGATTGTTCCCATCTGCTCTGCCCTTGCGAGACCCCACCTGGAGTGCTGCATCCAAGTCTGGGGTCCTGAGCACAAGGTAGTGATCTGTTAGAGAGTGTCCAGAGGACTTCCATGAAGATTATGAAGGGACTAGATCACCTCTCCTATGAAGAAAGGCTGAGAGTGCTGGAGTTGTTCAGACTGAAGAAGAGAAGGTTATGGGGAGACCTCATTTCAGCTTTTCAGTTCTTAAAGTCTTATAAAAAATATGGAGAGCAACTTTTTGCTTGCACACACAAAGACATGACAAGAAAAATGGTTTTAAGTTAAAAGAGGGATGTTTAGATTAGATATTAGGAGGGAATTCTGCTCTCAGAGGGTGGTGTGGCACTGGAACAGGTTGTCCAGAGAAGACGTGGATGCCCCGTCTCTGGAGGTGTTTAAGGCCAAGTTGGATGGGGCTTTGGGCAAACTGATCTAATGGGTGGCATCCCTGCTTATTGTGGGGGAGTTGGAATTAAATGATCTTAAAAGTCCTTTCCAACCCAAGAATTTCTATGCTTCTACAATTCTATGAGGGATTCTTTATTCCCTGTTCTGTACAGTCTTCTATATGACATGCAATCCTCTATGTATGACTGTACCTTATAATAAGATATGCAGTTTTACTACATATCCACACTTTTCATCTATTCTTCCTGGCAGTATGTGATGGCAAAGGGAACATGGTAAGGGACAGGGTGCATTTCATATTTTTTCTAATAAATATGTCTCACCTATCAGCTGGGCCAGTTGTGTTATATACTTTGTACTATACCTAATGAAATAAATTTTGGACAAGGCCCTGGGCAACCTGATCTAGTGGATGGCATCCCTGCCCATATCATGGGGGTTGGAAGTAGATGATCTTTATGGTCTTTTCCAACCCAAGCTGTTCTATGATTCTATGAAGACCTATGGAGGTGCAAGAAAGAGTGATATCAAACTCTGATAAGTATATATGGTAAATGAGGAGAACTTTTGGGTGGTAGTATGGATCACTGAAGGAGCATCTGTAGTTGAGTCTGTTAGGGAGGCTGTTTAGGGACTGCTTTAATTACTGAGTGCACAGTGAAGAGATAACCTAAAGCTAAATATGGAAGAGTGAGCATCACAAACATTTCTTTTCCCTGTTGCTTGTATGCACACACAGGCAAACAACTACCTCCAAAAGGGCAACAGGAGCTGAGGGCTCAAATAACAGGGCCAGCTAAAAGAACTGTCCCACTAAATGGTCATGCTGCTGTTGTGTTTTTCAAAGGGCATGTAAGACAAGGTTTCTAGAGGGCACTAGTATTTTCATTAGACTAGATAATATTCTTGGAAAAACTAGACAAGGCTTATGCACACAAGCTCTTGCCTTAAATATAGATAACATCTTTTATTAGACCACTTTGTGGAATGTTCTTGTCCTTGCATCAATGTAACAGTCACTCAGTAGCTGACAAATTTCAGTACTGTTTGAAAAAATCCTTAATTTTTTCTGTAATATCAATTCTGATGGAGTCTCAAAGAGATTAATCTGACTGCCCATAGGTATCTAGTGTCATATGAGATTCAATGGGATATTTGAAACATTTGACACAAGAACACCTTCTGGAGAGGCACACTACTCTAGACTGGTAGAAAAGTGTTGGATGATACTCAAGGACATCTCACACTCACCACATCCTTGATACAGAAAGTATGTGACATATATATACATATTAAATACCTTTTAATACCTAATACCTGTATAAATATATACACATTAAATAACTCTGTGTAGGTAACTGAACCTATATTTTTTTTTTTACTAGCTAAACTGGGTTTGACTCCCATATTTTTTGTTGGTTTACAAAACAATCTTTCTCCACACTTACAAGAAGGCCTTCCAAAATCTTCTGCCAGTGTTTTTATTATGATGTAATGTATTCTTATCTCTTGTTCCAAAACTGGAATGACTCTTTTTGTATCTAACCCTAAATTTTAGTAGTTGTTTTCAGAGTCTCATCATCATTGTATGCTTTGTGCAGAATAAGGAGATTATGAGCAATTTCAATCTTGGACTCACATCAGCTGTTCTCTCTCCAAACTCACAAACTGTGAAATCTGTGCCATCCAAAACATCTAAATATGGAAATGAGGCCAATGCATTTACCACTTGCTGCCATTTTTTATAAATAAACTAGTTGAGGGTTTCAATCTAAAGACTATGAGATATTGTGATAATCAGAGGATCCTTTGGTTTCACTTCCTGTGTTCACTAATAAATACATTTACAGTAAGGATTTTAAGAATTCTAAATGTTTGCAGGTGTGGACAGACAGAAGGAAAGAGTTTCCCTTTATTGTCCTTATGGTTTCTCCTTATTTTATCACTGTCATACAAAACAAAATGATCCTACTGATATCAGAAAATACTACTTGATGAAGCCATGCTTTCACAGTAATGTGCTACCACTTTTTAGAGCTGCTGTCTCAGAATATGCTAAATGTATAAACTCAAGATACACCAATGCCACGGCTCTATTATTATGAATTAACCCAATGAAATTATGATGACTGAAGTAAATTTGAAGGACTTTTTTTAGTGAAAAGAGATAAAAAGACAAGATTTTTTTTCTTTAGAGACCATCAGAAGAGATGTTATCCCTAGTGCTTAACTGATCTTGAAGAAGGGTAAACTGAAGAACAAAACGCAGAGCAAAACAATCCGGACTAACTGGGTCTTTGTCAAAGAGAATTAGGAAAGTCACGATGATTGTAACTGAGGACAGTAAAAAGTGTTCCCAATGTAAAAATGTAACTTCAACATCTTTTATGTTCTTGAAAATTTAAGGACAGCTGCTGAAAACAGGATATGACTATTTTTATAGGCACACTCTCAACTTTGTACAAGAATCATCATTCTTAGTCTGGCCACCCAGGTTACATGTTGGTGTGCAGCCAATTCTCCACCTGTGTGTGCATCTCCAGCTGCTGCAGCAAGAGGACTGAGGTGATGAAGGACAGTACAGAAGTACTCGTTTGACAGTCACGTTGGGGGAACATGACAGCAGGTGTTCCCAGAATAGCTTCCACTTGATTCAATTACCATCCCTTCTTCCGGCATTCCCTAGCAACTTCGATTTTTTTGTTAAATGAAACAAGGAGTTCAAACCAAATGTCCCAGTTTAATTTCTGGAGCACCACCAGAACCTCAGAATTACAACCCCAAATGGATGTCATCCAGAGCACAGCAGCCCACCTGCTCTTCAATGGCACAGACTGGCAGTTAGTAATGCTGCCAGGCTGCCCTGAATCAAATTCACTGAAACAAAAGGAGATTCATAAAAATTATTCAGGTATGTAAACTGCTCAATGATTTGTTTGTGCCGACAATTTTCTTTTTTCTTCTGGTGCAACACATTTTTTGAAAACTTCAAAGTTGGCAACAGGAAACTGAACTCCAAATTCTCTTTTAATTCAGCTATCTTTAGTAAGCAGTTTCATCTAAAGTTACATCAGGTAATGAAGTACAAATCAACACCTATAGAAGCAGAGTTTCATGCTGATGAGAAATCACAGAAAGCATGTGAATTTGGAAACCGTGTTTGTTTTTGCAACTAGATGCCATAATGGAGAATTTCAAAGGTACACCTTTTACAACTGACATTGAAAAAATGACACTTTTTTTTTTTTTAGTTAGGCATCTCTAAAGGAGGTACTCTCCCGTTCTCTCTCTCAATGTGACCTTAACAGGTTATTTTGGTTGTTGTTGATGTGTTCTTTTTTTTTTTTCTTTCTCTTTTAGTCTTTTTTTTTTCTTTCCTCAATTTTATCCCCACTGCACTAGAAGAATCAGTTCTTAATTTACAGTGATAACCTACAGAGAAGAGTTATGATTTTGTGTATTTTTTGAAAGTAATAGGCATATTCCTCATTTATCTAACCAGAAAGCTCCTGATTTATTTCATGAAATAGTTTTACTTATGCTGAATTTTTGAACCAAAATATTGTTAGTGGTACAACAATGATACCTAGGGCTTCTCACAGTAGTCTTCCACTGGGGAAGAGTTTCTATGAGGACATTCCAGAGCAACATTTTTTCTGGGCTCTTTAATGATTAGGTGCATCAGCTTGTCTGTCTCTAAGCCAGAGAAGGTGAAAAAGCTGACAAATGTGATTAGATAAAAGGTTAAATCTAGCCAAGGTGTAATAGTTTGGCTATCATGTTCACTTTACAGGCTTTAAATGAGCTCTGTAGATTTAAAAGACACTTTTTAGTAGTTCAGTAGGAACCAGAGCTAAGAGATGTTCAGCAGAGCAAGGCACTCTCCAGAATATTTTTCTTTTAGTATTTTTACCCAATGATTCATTCCCCACAGGCTTTTTTTTTTTTTCCTTCTATAGAAAGAGCAAAGCAGTAGGAGTAGTAGTAGATAGTAGTAGTAACAGAAAGACACAGCATTATATAGTTTTCAAGCCATATGCTATTTCTGTGAAAGATGTATTTCTGAAAGCACAGATTTCAGCAAGCACTAGTGCCTGTTTGAGCTGAAAATGCCAAGAATACAAAAGATACATGTGGAAAACATAATCAAGGCAGGTGACTATTGGGTGACAAATTACACCCAAGACACATCTGTTACATCTTTGACAATATTTAAAAAAAACTAAATGCATCACTGATCCGCTGCTGAACAGATAGCTATACCTGGTTACTTAAAAATAAATTAAAAAAAAATAAAAAAATAAAGATTTTCACAGCAGTAAGAGTGCATAGAGCATATAGCCCAACCTTCTTCTGCAGCAGTGCTGGGCGAGCAGAGATGCCCCGGCAGAGCCTGGGGGGCGTGCGGCGGGGGAGCAGCCCTGCAACAGGCAGGGATCAGCCATGCGGGGGATGCTCCCAAAATGCAGGGTGCTGAGTGCCCCCCCACTGCCCTCTCTGATTCCCCCCGGCCCGGGTGTGGGCGGCCCGGGCTGCAGCACCGCCCCGTGTCTGGTTGAGCCAGCAGGCGGGAGCGGGGCGCTCGGTGCCTCGGCTTTTTCTTCATTTTTATTATTATTACTCCTATTATTCTCGATGCATTTATTCTCCCCCGACACCCTGAAGTTGGATGTCTTCGCAGCCTGCCCGGGTGGAGAGGAGAAGGGAGAGGGAGGAGCGAGCCCCCCGCATCCATCCCGCGGAAAGTGAGCCGCCGTGCTGCTGCCGGGCATCATCACCCTCCTGCACATCCCTGCTCAGGACGCCTTTTCCGAAGACTTAGCTTTTTTTTTTTTATTTTTAAATAATATTATTATTTAAAAATATTTTGATTTTTTCCTCCATCGGTTGCTCTGGATGCTAGATGCAGGTGAGTTTACCCTCCACTTTTCTATGTCATCTCCCCCCGAGATAAGTGTAAAAAGTTTGCAAACGGCAGGAGAAATCATAACTCGAGCTCCAGGCAGTTGGGTGGTTTGGTTGAAGAGGATTTGGCATTTGTTGGGGCAGTGCCCAAAAGCCTGTGTGCGGAGAAGGTGCTCGCTGCTCTGCTGCGGGTTGAGGCTCTGAAGAGCAGACACTTCCCAATCACCTCAGCACAGATCATTTGCTGGGGGATTTCTGTGTGAGAAATGTTTTGCACATCAGAGGGGCTGCTTTAACTTTTAAAGTGCTAACTAAAAGTACCTTGAACTTCAGAAGCCATGGTTCTTTTTTTTTGTTCTTTTTTTTTTTCTGTTGTTCTTTTTTGTTGTTGTTCTTTTTTTTTTTTTTTTTTTCCCTTTTTCTTTTCTTTTTTACACTGTTTTCCTACACCATTAGCATTTTCCCTTGAGTGAACAGTGTGATTTTCAAAAGTGATGGACCTCATAGCATGCATGCTATTGGTTTTGTTTTCATTTGTCTTTCATGAACTGTACTTTCCTAAAAGTATGTTTGTAAGTCTGTATGCAAGAGGTTCTGCCACAGACAGCAAGTTTGGAGAGCTGGGAGTTATCTAAACTTCTGGACAATAGTCTCCTCTCTTTATTATTTCTGAAGACTTACATGTGTTGCAGTGTTACTTAGGGTATGGAAAAAATAGTCCAGAACAGATGAGGGTTTTGTTCTCAGTGTTGTGAAGTCCCACATAGTTTATCTTCTTTCAACTTTCTTTGAAAAAAAGTTATCTGAGGTACTTTGTCTGGTTGTGGATGCTTGTCATTAAACACAGAGTTGTGCACTGGGAAGACAAGGTTTAGTGCTCACAAACTCAAAAATATAACATTATTTTTCTCTCTCCCCTTAATTAGACTAAACACTACATATCCATAAGTTAGGCATAAGGTCATGTAATTTATACTCCCGCCATAAAATTTCAAATGGGATTGTCTTTGAAATATGAATATTTTTAAATTATAACTTTTGAGTAGAAAGGTAAGTTCATAAATGAATGAAAATCTCTTTTAAATTTGATTTTAATATTTACTCAGTAATGGGCTGAATAAGGCTGTGTGAATATGTAAATATAAGTGTTTTTTTAATCTCCCCTATATAAGAGAATAACATACGTATAATGTAAGAGAGTAATGTAAGTTTTTTTTTAAAACAAAATGATTTTGAAGTTTGATTTTATTTTATGAATTTTTATTTGGTGTTAATATTTAAAGTGAACTAAGCATCATTTTTGACATGTTGCCTTTGCAAGGGAAGACGATAATCTGCCAATCAGAAATAAAGAATGAGTTCATTTGGGAAAAAAAAATATCTCAAACCCTTAAACCTGGTATGTCCTCTACATTCATAATTTAGTTCTTATTTTGGGTCAAAATGAGAGAAGAAAAAACAGCTTCACTGTTGCAAGATACTGCTCAAACTAATGTGTGTTGGCAAGTGCAAAAAGAAGCCTTGCACTCTCAGTATCAGTGCCTGTATTTTCAGAAGCTGATATAACATCTTTTGAAACCTTTCTTTTTTTTTTTTTTTTTTTTCCCCAACAGACTGCTTCAGAGAAAAGTGCAAGCAGTACTGGATGTCTGTTTTGCTGTATGCTTAGATTACTAATGTCAAAATCAGTTACCAGATGAAGCTTTTAACAACTGGTGACATTAAATGAACTTTTGGCCTGTTCCACCTGGCCATATGTTTTGTATCACTTTGGGTATGTTTTCCACTCAATATAAACTTAAACTAATTCAAGGGAACAAACTGGATATTCATTTGTGTGTTTCAAATACAATTGCAAGCTGTTATTTTTAATTATTATTAATGTTTTTGTTTGTCTGTTTTTCTTTTTTGAGAAGTAGAATTGGCAGAATTAGAAAGGGTTCAGTCCTGCGTGGTCCTCAGATTTTGAGAAACTGGGAGTGTTCAGGAGGTAGAGCTTGGACAATGGGGTGTACAATGGGTCATCAGTAAAGTGGGATAATAAAAAAGTAGCCTCTACCAAAGTAAAGTATTTGGAGGAAAAAGAAAACAAGTGAAACTTCAAGCACACATCTTCAGCTGTTTTTCAGGAATAACATGTATTATTCAGTTAGATGCTAACATTAAGTAAGTATTAGACCAATTCTTTCAAGGTAAATGGATGGGAGTTTGGAATCTTTATTGAAATACAAAATTCCACCCCGTTCCAACCCCCTGCCACAGGCAGGGACACCTCTTACCAGACCAGGTTGCCCAAAGCCCCATCCAACCTGGCCTTGAACACCTCCAGGGATGGGGTATCCACAGCTTCTCTTGGAAACCTGTGCCCCACCACCCTCTAAGTGAAGAATTTCTTCCTAACATCTAATTTAAACCTCCCCTCTTTTAGTTTTAAGCCATTACCCCTTGTCCTATTACTACAGTCCCTGATAATCAGTACACTGAGGATGACAGAAGAGGAACATGGGTTTTGCCTGCACATGTGGTATGGGACTGTTGAATTATAATCAGGTGAATGCCACCCAGTGAGCAAATGTCCTTTTATGATTTCTATAAATATGAATGTTTAATATTTCTTTTTAAATGCATATATATGTGCATATTTAATAACTGTACGAAAAAATTTATTTTTTATTACTTACATTTTGATGTTCACAGAGATGCATATAAAAAGTTACATTTCCTAAAGAGATTATAACCTTTGGCTTTGTCTAACTCCAATGCTGTGGTGCTTTAATGATAATATTATCCCGTGACAGTCCAAACCCTTGGCCTGTGATTATTCTGGTGAACTTAATTCCCACATAGAAGCATTTATGATGGTATGCAGTAATCTTTGCTACAGATTATCTAGGTGTAACCCATTCAGTTTGGGAAGGGGGAAGGGAGATGAGTTGCATCTGTGCAAATTAATCTGTGTGTAAATCAGACTTAAGTCTCTCCAAATTTTGAAGCCAGATTCTGCAATATGGTTTGGGGGGAGCAGATAGGACTGATCTAGTTGCATCCTCAATAAACAGTCACGTGCAAACAGATTCGACAAAACTATCTTGGAAGTAATGGGAACATAATAGATTAATTTTGTATAAAATAGAGCATAAGCAGAATTATGAAACAAAAACAACCAACCAACCAACCAAACAAACAAACAAAAAAACAACAACAAACAAACAACTACAACTGATAACTTTTTCAGTTCATTTCTCTATATATTCTTATTTTCCTGTGAATTTTTCCTTCTGAAACTCTCCTTCCACACAGTGCCACAAAGCTTTGTTCCTATGCACACACACACACACGCAGCTGTCTCTCTTTTCAGTTGTGCCATTAGTCTGAGAAGTACTCAACATCATTGTTTTAATGAGTTGTTCTTTTATTTCTGTTTTGTTCTTCTAAACTTTAACTCTGTTCCTTTAAACACATTTGTGAGTAAAATTAAAACATATTCTCAGTTAGTCTCAAATAGTTTCCTTCTGCCTGCAACCAGAATTGTGACAGCTATCTTTTATTTATTTTTTTCCAAAATGGTAGAAAGAGGATTTCAAATGTTTTCCCTCTTTGATTTGCTCCTTGAGACCCTTACCAATTTAAATTACCATGTGCCTCTTAAATGGAGGTAGAGGGAGTAAGCAGAAAACATCAGCTGTTCATGTTCTAAATGACCAAACAGTGGAAGGTCTGCAAAGTGTATGTAATCTTTTCATCATTTATTTATCACAACACAAAGTTAAGACAGACTGCATATATTATAGTTCAAAATCACTGCAATAATGAGACATGTTTATCATAGCAACTTTGTGAAAGCAGGGAAATATTAATAAGAAATACTTGCAATAAACATTTACCATGACAAACAACTTTGATAGAAGAAAAAAAAAAACACACCCTCTACAGCTTCAGTACACTCTGATGAACTCTCATCTTTCCAACTGGCTAACACATTTTATTATTTTTTTTACTAATCAATTTGCAAAAAGCAGTAGTTAGGAGTAGTGCAACAGATGCTGCATTTTGAACTCTCTGTAGTTGTTCCAGGAGGACATGTCTCCTGAAAGAAACGTTTTCATACATATGTTTTCATATTTTTAAGTTCAGCAAGCTATAGGTATTGTTGGTTTTTTTTGTTGTTTTTTTTTTTTTTTTTTTTTTTGTTTTTTTTTTGTTGCTTGTTTGTTTCATTTTGTTTTGTTTGCTTGTTTGTTTGGTTGGTTGCTTTTGTGTGTGTGTGCGGTGAGGAGTGGAAATTCTTACATATATCTATCTGCATTATTATTATTATTTATTTTTTTTTATAGAAACATTGATGCAGAATTAGCCAGCTTTCTGCATGGTTGCAGGCAAAACAGTTACACATTAAGCATGCTGCTGTTGCCTCACAAAATACACACACACATTGTATTCACTGTGTGAGTCTATACAAATTCATGTCTGTGGTAGGAGAGATATGCGAAGCTCTGGATGTTTGTCTACTTTATAAATAATGAAGGTGAACACCTGTCCACTGGTAAATGTAGGAGAAGTGACATTGATATCAGAGCTTCGCCAACCTTTGTAAGCACATGGGAGCTTCAGGGACTGAGCTTGAAATTATTCTTTCTGGGTAAAGAAATCTCCTCCTAAAATTTTGGTTACAATTAAACTCTAGCCAAGACTAAAGCTTGGTGGATTGCCTTGATGTAGAAGATGATACAGCTTTTCCTCTGGAAAGCTGATGTGAAAGATCGATCTTACATGCATTTTCTCTTCTGAGAAACTTTACTGGAAAGGTGAAAATAACCTTTTCCACGCTAAACAGAGAGCTAAGAAAAAACTGTTTTGAATAGCAAAGGAAATTTCCACAAACTGATTTTGTTGCTGTTGTTGAAAATCAGAGAAAAGACAGAAATATTTGATACAGTTCAAAGAGGAGAAACTGTACATACATGTATGTATTGTTTGGTCTTCATATGGAAATGGTGGTTTTGTCTTTACCATTTGTTTTCTTCTCTTTTCTTTTTCAGAAAGATGGGTTAGCAGAAGGAAAAACAGTAGCTACTCATTGGTAGGAGGGCTGCCCATTTGCTCTGAGAGAAGAGACCATGTGGAAGCACCTTTTTAAGACAGCTTCCAGTCTGACTCTCAAAAAAGATCATCTAACATGATCCTGGGTTTAAACAGAAGATGAATTTGAGGTGATTGCTTGGTTTTTCTGCCCTGAAGTCCCAAGCAGAACTGACCACTGAAGAGTAGAAAAATATTCCTGTGCTACAATACAATATTTCATGCCTGAGTAACCATCTAAGAGATATCTCAACTGAGAAAAATTTGCAAGAAATGATTTGACCTGTAATGGAGGGACACTTCTGTGAAACTGCCAGAGGACTTCAGCACAGGGCACCTGGTGTCTCTACTCTCATTTACCTGTGGCAAAGTCCGAAATGAACCACACTTGGACATACAACCTGAGCTTTGATGCTCCTGCAGATCCTGTAGAGCCTAGGGCTGGACTCTCACGAAATGGGCACACAATAGTGGCTGTTTTTCTTGGATTTATCTTGTTTTTTGGTTTCTTGAATAACTTGATTGTCCTCATCCTCTTCTGCAAGTTTAAAACCCTCCGTAACCCAGTCAACATGCTCCTCCTGAATATCAGTATCAGTGACATGTTAGTGTGCATCTCAGGCACTACCCTCAGTTTTGCATCTAACATCCATGGCAAATGGATTGGAGGGGAGCATGGTTGCAGGTGGTATGGATTTGTCAATTCCTGCTTTGGTAAGAGTTCATTGATAATTCTCTTATCCTATTCTTTTCAACACAGGTGCATGAAGCCACTCAATGAGTTAGTTGTCTCATGGTGTAAGGTAAATAGAAGGATGCTTTGGTTCCCTTGCTACGGTAAACCAAGAGAAATTCATGGCTTAAAACATTTAACTGCAGGCTTTATGAAACATAGAAGAGAGCTGATAAATATTCCTTAACGTATCCTATTTTTGAAATACCTTATTTTTAATAGATGCAAATGTCATCTAGAAAGAGGCAACATACTAGAAGAAGGAGTTTGACTAAGTGAATGAACATACATGGTAGTTCCCTCTTTTTCAGAAAAATCTGTGCCATCAGTAAACAGTTCTTTCAGTGCTGCTTCCATCACAAACAAAGCCTCATGAAAATACTCCATTTGCCATTTGCAATTATCTATTGATCTATAACATGAATTCCCTTTTGTCCCAGATAATGACAGTTTTCATCATTAGATGCTTTTTGTTCTTCCCCAAAGCAAAATCTTTATTTTAAAATTACATGATGCACATTCAATAACAAATTAACTTACAGGAATAGATGTCAGATATACTCAAAGCGTTCATCAAAGTCAAAGTTAAACAGTCTCTCTGTATTCGTCTTCTGTCCAGATAAAACTTTTCCTGCAACAAGCTTTTGTAGTGTTAGATTTAAATTTTTAACTTAAAATAATTGTGTTAATTATTAAAAAAAAAAATAAAGAAAAGATAAAACAGAAGGAAAAAGCACAGTCAGAGGGCAGGTTTTGTCCCTTCAAGTTGATCCATCACTTTTATAATTACATTGCCAAGCAGTGAGCCTTTGTGCATTTATTCCTATATTCAAAAAAGATTTGCCAAGGCAAGACATAAACTGTCCTGTGGGTACAACAACTAGACATGATCCTATGCTCACCTAGACTGGGGGACCCAGTTCCTTTTGTTCTGTGTTCTTGTTTTGGTGGCCTCCAGGCCACCAGGACAGGTCTGAGCACATCCTATTTTCTTCTCCTCCTCTGAGGTTGAGGTGCATCTCATACCAGTGCTTTATCCTGAGCAGCACTCCCACGGCCCTTGAAGTAGAATCAGGCTGTGAATCCAAACACACATTTTCTGACTGACTTACAAACTCTTGCTATTTCTAACAATGTGCTTTCCTCTGGTGCCCTTCCTTTCCTCAAACTTGTGCTGCACTATTGACAGTTATCTCAGCCTAGCAGCTTCCTCTGGGAAGCTGCTGCTATGTCCAAAGCGACCTCTCAGGAGTTAGCAGTGTTGTATGATAAAAAAGCATAGGCTTTGGTAATCCAAAAACAGACCTCATTATCAACAACACTTTTTTTGTTGTTGTTGTTTTTGTTTCCTTTTGGGGGAGGGGGGGGGGGGACGACAGGACGGTTTATCTATCTATCTATCTATCTATTTATTTATTTATAAATTTGTGCAGATCAGAAAAGCATATCTTTTCCTTCCGTGTTTCCTTTCCATTTTTGTGAGTCATTAATGCGATGAGATAGTCTACTGGTCCATGTTGTCTGAAGCTTTAGCATACAGCTTTCTCACTGCAACTTTGAAGAAATGTATTCACATAAGATGCACAGGGTTTTGAATACATTCACCAGGCCTCTGCTACTGTGTCTTCATAACATTAACTTCATAACACAGATGAATAATTCAGTCACTAGTCTTCTCAGGGAGAAAACAGGTAGGACTGGATTTTCTCCATCCTTTGATTTACCTTTGTTCTTTTTTTATTATTAAGGAATGGGATGCAAAGATTTTATTTGAAGAGAGGAGAAAAAAGGTATGTGTTTAAGGGAGGAGAAAAATGTTATGTGTTTAAGGGATGAGGAAAAAAAAATATGTTGATGGTGCCTTTTGAGCTTGTTGGCTTCTGCCAGAATACCTGTGTGCTACTTCTCCAGTTACTGTGGAATTAAAACAGCAAATGAGTCAGCTTCTCATGAGGTGACTTGCTTGTGGAATGGTTCTTCATGTCTACTGTATAAATCAGGTGGATGGCAGGACAGCAGGCTTCCATTCTGCAGTGACACTTGTGCCCATGCAAGAGGTTCCAGTACAGTTCCTAAAACTGGTTAGATCATCAAAGAACAAGCAAGCAGACAGAAACATAAAGCCCAGAATGCTAAAGTTGACTTTAGCTTCTCTGACTGGCTCTACTATCAACAGTGTGTCCTGGGTGGCTGGGACAGCTTGACCACTGGCAAGGATTGAACTGTGCACATGGAAACTTTTCCTAAGAGTGTTAAAAACATTCTTTTGCAATTCCATTTGGAAAGTCTTGCTACACTCACAATATTTGTTAATATTATTCTTTTACTTTTACTACTGTGTATAAAGGGTATACTGAAGAAGTTTGCCTGCAAAACTATAACTAAAAATGTTCACTGGAAAATAAAATGAGTAAACATGAGTAAAAGCATAGAATAGTAGCAAGTGGCTTAACATTTAGATGTCTCCATCTGCAGTTAAATACCATTGTTCATCTGCTTTCTTGAAATGATATAATCCAAAATGTGTTAAAGAAAAACATAGGTATAGAGTAAGTTGGCAGTATTTCAGTTCTTTACAACACTTGAAAACAAAATTCCCAGGTGTGTGATTTTTGTTGCATTCCATGTGTGCATTGAGCATCATAGGCTGAACAGGGACATGTTGAATGGAATGGTTAATTTTTTTTACAGACTTTGAGATATTATTGATAAGGGGGTGGGGTGGTGAGAACAACATCTCATTCATTGTAGATTTTTTTTCTTTGTCTTCCATAGACTTTAGAAAAACTGTATACAATTTACAAAACTGATTCAGGAGCTCTAGAGGAGAAAAAGTATATTATATATGGTAAAGTGGTTGATTAAGATCTCACTGATTGATACCTTGTAGTTTCCAAAGAAAAGAAAATTACTGAAGAAAAGAAAGTTATTTGTCAGCAAGAGAGTTTTTTGACACTTTTGTCGACTAGCTTAGATCACAGCCTTCCTCCTGACTGCTATGAATGCCTTGTGAGTGGCAAAGTGGATTAGATTTATAAACATAATTGCAAGAACTACAAGGACTACAAAATAATGGCTACAATATAAAAGGCTACAATATAAAAGGAACATATATGAGCAAATAAATGACAAAACCATATAGACTGGGAGGAGAGGGTTTATTTGTGTTGTTTACACTTTTTCTGCAATCCCTTACACTCCTTTGTGCCTTGAGTCTGATTTTGGCTTGCCAAAGCTAAGAGGAATTGCCCTAATGCTCATGATCCATAAGAAAGATGTGTTGTAGGAAAGCTAATTAAGAACTGAAGTTTGACATCAAGCTCCGTAAGAGTAAACCCTTTAAAATATTTATTTATTTACTTATTCGCCTCACAGGACAGAAGTCTGTCCTGCTAGGATAAAAAACTTCATTATAGAACCAGAATTTCAAATTATGTTACAGTAAGTTCACTGGCTTCAGTAGAATTTAACTCTCCAGTAACAAATGAAGGTATGTACCATTTTTTAATTTTTTTTTTCTAAAACACATAGTAATGCTGCTTATGATGATAAACCTACAACCTTTAATCTTTTCCTAAACCATAAAGAAGTCTGTAGTGGGTAACTAAGCTTTATGACTTGGCAAATATTTGATGATATGTAAAACACACCTACGCCAACTTCAAAATGTAAGAACATTTTAAAAAGTAATTTGACTTTTAAAGGGTTTCTGCAAAGGACTGATTTTTTCATAGCTGTTTTGCTCCCTTACACATTGTTTTTTGATGTTATGAAAAACACCTTCTTCCTGTCTAAAATTCAATTGAGAGTGAAGGTCTTATCCCCCAGGTCCATAGCCTGGAGGATACTTAGGAAACAGCCAGTGAATGTAGGAAGATGAGTTTGTTTCAAATGCAAATGCATGGCCATAGATCACACATTTTTTTTGAAGTGCCTTTTCTCTTTTAAAATCACATAACTATTTCCCTGGGAAGTGATCCAGAAATTGGGCCTAATTCTCTTCCCGGCAAAATCAACAGAGCAATGGACTTTAATGTTGCTTACTGTGGAATTGAGCTGCATGGTGTTTACTGGGTAATTCATTGCCTACCCCAGGCACTTAAAAATCATGAACCAAAACCCAGTACCAGGAGGTTCCTATGAGCACAATAGAAAAAATATAGAGAAGGTGTAGGTGTTTTATTTATTTGCTTGCTGTTTTCCACACCTCTATTTTATGATTTCAAATCATTCTCTGAAAGCAGATGGTTTAGAAAATAATGGACAGTGCAGATGCTGATCAATGAGCATGTAATGTGGATTTTAAGGAGAACAGTAAATATCATGAGACTTGCTATAACAGCATAAGAGCTGTTGGGACTTCACATGAAGAGCATAAAGGATGGAGTTAGGGAAGGAACAATGTGGGCTGTTTCTGTCGTAAATGGCTTTCCCCTGGTGCTTGTGCCTGTTTGCAGCTCTATCAACTAGGTCACTGCAGTGGAAACTGCATGTCACAGAGTTGGGGAAATGGATGTATTTGCTAAATTTACTCCTGTTACCCACCACTTAGCCACAGTTTGACAGGCTCATGCTTATACATTTAAGCAAACATTCATGTTTGCAGGGGACACAAGGACAGGACGGACACATTTTTCCCAAATGAACTGAGTAAACTTTGCAAGCAGGCTGAAATAAAAACTGTTAAATATATCATTGAAAGATTAGGCATTAGATTTTAATTTAGGAAAAACACAATATTTAGTAAAACACTCACAAAGAGACCATATATGCACAAACTGATATCGCATCCTAAAATTGTTTGTCATATAACTTTGACCACCTCACACATACTCTCTCTAACTGCCCTATTATACACTTCAGATCTCTGGACAGATGAAAACTTTAGGAAACATTTCATCTTTTCCCAATATATTTGCACTAATGTAGACTTTCCAAAGTTGTAGGGCAGGCAGTTTTTCGGTGTGGATAACTTCTGAAG